GATCCCACGTACAGACCGGCTCCCGCTCACTGGCTGAGCGAGGTGCGGGAGCAACACCGAGGTTTGCAATCCCGTTGCCGGTCCCTGGTCCGGTACGGGGGCAACACTGAGGGTTGCGATCCGTTGCCGGACACGGAAAAAAAAAAAAAAAAATTGTTGATAGGAAAGTCAGGTCCACAAATGTGGGTGACTAATTCAAGACCTCCAATGCCTTGAACACCTGAGGACACAAAGTCACTCTAGGGGGCTGACATTTAGTGTCAGAGGGCGTCGGAACTCACCCACTGAGAGAAGGTTCCTGAAGTTCTCCAGCATCACATCTTGGTACAGCTTCCTTTGTGCAGTGTCCAGCAGCCCCTGCTCCTCCTTGGTGAAAACCACAGCAACGTCTTCGAAGGTCAGTTCCTCCTACAACACCAAACACACCTAAACTCAATCATTATCAACAGTTACTTGAAACAGAACAGCACTGAGAAGGTGGAGAAGATGGGTGGGGACGTGATCCAGACTTTGAGGGACTTAAGTCAATATGTAGATTTTCCAACACTTCTCCTTCCATCCTGCTAATGCCACACACTGAGTTTCCTCAGCCTCACAAAAGTACAGCAATGACAGCAGTCCTTGTATTTTTACTTTGTGCCCTCAATGAATCTACTTATAAACAACCCTCTAGAACTCCAAATGATGCATCCTGGGCTACACATTTCACTTTTTGGTGAATATTACTAATTGGCCCAGAAATACCTGCAATTTAGTACCAACATACTTGATAGCACCCACCTTCCTCCTCTCTCACACAGGAACCCTGGACTGTCACTTTTCATTAAGATCTGCCAAACTAACACACTTCTGGTAACACATCCAGGGCAGCTATGGAGTTCATCTTCTACACACTCAAAGCACACAACATGTCCATTAACTGCGGCATGTGGTGTCATGATCTGGAGCCAGCATGCCTTAGCACACACCACAAGGGTCTGCCCCTTCATAGCTGCATGACCTTGGACAAGCCCACATAATTTCATTTTGGTATAATGGTTCTTACACAACAGGGTTCTTTCAAGAATTAAAAGAGGGAATATATCTATGTAGCATTTGGAACAGTGTGTGGCACAAAGTGACTAACAAACATCAGCTCTTATTATTATTTTTATTATGATCATTATCTACTTAATCTCATTTTATGGCTGCATATTATTCAAGGGAACTGACTATCTATATTTACCTGTTCTAAATAATAAACATTTAAATTTATATATTTTTCTCATTAAAACTAATCTGGCAAAAAACGTCATTTTATGTAGATCTTACTTTCATGTCTATTTATTTATTTATTTTTCTTCCAAATTTTATTTTATTTTGTCAACATACAATGAGGTCGATTACTGTAGCCCATCACCGAAAGCTCCCTCCCTCCTCCCTCTCCCCCCCCTCAACAATGTCCTTTCTGTTCCAATTGTTGTGTCTTCTTCCCTCCCCCCCACCCCAGTTTTTTGTGTATTTATTTATTTTTAGTTCCCACAATTAAGTGAGAACATGTGATATTTCTCTTTCTGTGCCTGACTTGTTTCACTTAATATAATTCTCTCTAGGTCCATCCACGTCATGTCTATTTAAAATAACAGAAAATGAAAGTTAGCACATCAAAAAATAAGCACATTTAAGGGGCCAGCCCGGTGGCGCACTGGATAGTGCGCTGCTTGGGAAGCGCGGCGGCGCTCCCACCCGAGGGTTCGGATCCCACATACAGACCAGTTCCCGCTCACTGGCTGAGCGAGGCGCGGGGGCAGCACCGAGGCTTGCGATCCCGTTGCCGGTCCCCGGTCCGGTAAAAAAAAAAAAAAAAAAAAAAAAAAAAAAAAAAAAAATAAGCACATTTAAAATGAGAATCATATAATGGCAGATTTTCTTCCCCAATTTTTTCCTACCTCTGTAATCTTTCAAGAGAACACAAGCACTCTGTTTCTCCACAGAATGGACTAGGGCAGGTTATAAATTTTCCAATATTTTTTGTAATCTGATTAAGAAAAACAATTCATTTCATTATTCTCACTTATCTGATTGTTTATTTAACAATCAACATCACCACCTTTTCAAACGTTTACTGGCCATCTCTGTTTCTCCTTTTTACTTGCTTCTTCATGTCTTTTGTTCATATTCCTCTGTATTTTTTCTTTATTCTATGCATAAGATTCCCACTATGGATTTTGTCCTTTTTTGGCATCTGTGTGGTAAACATTTTCGCTCCAGGTTTTTATTCTCTGGTAATACTGTGTAAGGTATCTTTAGTCATAGAGGAATTTAAAGACTTTATATAACGACTGTGCTAATTGCTGTCCTTGTGCACATGGAGCTCTCAGCATCTCAGTACACCTGGGGAAGTGTCACATCGTGAAGAGAAGTTCCCTGAGGAGGAGGCGAGAGCAGGAATAGGACTGCCTGTGGACATCATTGCCCAACAAGGCACTCCAGACACCCACAGCACAGGGCACAGGTCTCTCAATGGAGAATTCTTTTGGTATTTCCTCTTGTCTCTCTTCATGAGAATGGAATGGCTAACATTCCTGACCCTTGATTTCTTGTGTGAACCTGAGCAGGTTTCTTATGTTTCACAAGTTTAAAAGGAAGATGAGACCGAGAACCTCCTCACCGATCTGCTCTGAGGAGTAAATTCAGGAAGAGAACACAAGGGACTGGCAAATCCTCTAGTGTCACTCTTCATGTCATTTATTTATTTTTTATTGAAACATGATTGTACATGTCTGTGGGGTACAGAGTTGCATATCAATGCCTATGTGCAATATGTGATGCTTAAATCTAGGATAATTACTACATTCAATATTATATAATGTTACTGTTTTTTGTGGCCCTTTATCAATTCCTCCTTTATCCTCCCCTCCCCCTTTCTCACCTCTGGTAACCTCTGTTCTATTCTCTCCTTTTGAAAGTTCAACATATTATTGTGTTTGTCGTATCTTTCTTTTTTTATTTATCTGTCTATTATTTTAGCTCCCACTTATGAGTGAGGACATGCAGTATTTCTCTTTCTGTGCCTGGCTTATTTCACCTAAATAATTTTCTCTAACTTCATCCATGTTGCTGCAAATTGCAGGATTTCATTCTTTTTCAACACAGAGTAATATTCCATTGTGTAAATATACCACATTTTCCTATCCAGTTGTCCCACAATGGACGTTTAGGTTGGTTCCAACTCTTGGCTATTGTAAATAGAGCTGGGATAAACATGGGCGTGCAGGTATCCCTTCGACATGATGATTTCCATTCCTTTGGGAATATACCCAGTAGTGTAATTGCTAGATCATACGGTAGTTCTCTCTGCAGTTGTCAGAGGAACCTCCATACTGTTTTCCATAATGGATGCACCAATTTACAATCCCACCAGCAGCGTAATCTCCATGTCATTTAAATTAACAAGACTGGATTCTGAGTCCATATTGATAGAATATTTATAGTTGAATGAATGAATAAACAAATAAAAGAGAAGGAAAGCTCAGTTTTACAGTAGAATGCCCACTAATGAATGTGTCTTCCCATAAAAAAACTTTATTAGTAAAAAAAAAAAAAGACTAATTTTACAACGACGAAATTTGACAAACATCAACATAGCCAAGTGAACAGAATTGAGATCACCAATGAAGGAACAAACCAATATCATTTGGCCCCTGTTATGTTGCAATGAAAAGGACACCACATCACTTCTGTGATATTCCTGCCAACAAAGCATAATCTGAATCTAAATATGAAATATATCAGACACACCCCAAATGCATAGCTTTGTCCAAAATAACTTGCCTATACTCTTCAAAAATATCAAGAACAAAAAAGACAAAGACTGTGGAATCATTCCAGATTAAAGACTACAGAAATGTGATAACTAAAGGCAATGCAGGAAGTCCTAGCCCGAGCAATTAGGCAAGAGAAAGAAATAAAGGGCATACAAATTGGAAAAGGAAGTCTAATTTTCCCTGTGTTGCAGGCAGACAACATGATTTTAAATACAGAAAATCCTAAAGACTCCACCAAAAAACCGTAAGAACTAATGGTTTTTTTTTGTTTGTTTGTTTGTTTTTTGGTTTTTTTTTTTGGCAGCTGGCCTGTACAGGAATCCAAACCCGTGACCTTGGTGGTATCAGCATCACATTTTACCAAATGAGCTAACTGGGCAGCCCTCAAGGTCTTTTTTTTTCCCCCTTCAATTATTATTATTTTTTTTTTTGGTAGCTGGCTGGTACTGGGATCTGAACCCTTGACCTTGATGTTATAAGGCAGCGTTCTAACCAACCCAGCTACCCAGCCAGCCTGTAAGAACTAATTAATAAACTAATTCAGTAAAGTTACAGGATGCAAAACCAAAATACAAAAATCTACAGTGTTTCTATACACAATAGCGAACTATCTGACAAAGAAATCAAGAAAGAAAATCCCATTTACATTGGCTACAAAAAAATAAGATATCTAGGAATAAATTTAACCAAGGAGGTAAAAGACCTCTATGATGAAAACTACAAAACAATAAAGAAAGAAATTGAAGAGGACATAAATAAATTGAAAGATACTCCATGTTCATGGATTGGAAGAATTAATGTTGTTAAAATGTCCATACTACCCAAAACAATCTACAGATTCAACACAACTCCTATCAAAATACCAATGACATTCTTCACAGAAATAGAAAAAAACAATTCCTAAAATTCGTATGGAACCACAAAAGACTCCAAATAGCCACAGCAATCTTGAGCAAAAAGAATAAAGCTGGAGGCATCACACTACCTGACTTCAAAATACAGTACAAAGCTTTAGTAACCAAAACAGCACAGTACTGGCATAAAAATAGACACACAGACCAATGGAACAGAATAGAGAACTGAGAATAAATCCATGCACTTACAGCCAACTGATTTTCAACAAAGGCACTAAAAACACACAATGGGGACAGGATAGTCTCTTCAATAAATGGTGCTGGGAAAACTGGAATATCCACTTCCACAAGAATGAAACTAGACCCCTATCTCTCACCGTATACAAAAATCAACTCACAATAGACTAAAGATTTAAATGCAAGACCCAAAACTATAAAACTGCTAAAAGAAAACATGAGGGAAATGCTTCATGACACTGGTCTGGACAAGGATTGTTTTGATAAGACCTCAAAAGCACTGACAACAAAAGCAAAAAATAGTCAAATGGGATTACGTCAAACTAAAAATCTTTTTGCACAGCAAAGGAAACAACAAACACAGTGAAGAGACGACCTACAGAATGGGGAAAACATCTGCAAACTATGCATCTGACAAGGGGTTAATATCCAGAAAATGTAAGAACTCAACAGAAAAAACCCGACAAGTAATACTATTAAAACATGGGTAAAGACCTGAATAGACATTTCT